ATCTGTCTATTTCTTCTGTGTTATCAAACCTTTGAGAGTAGAGGTTTTCGAAATAGGTGTTGATGATCTTCTGTATTTCTATTGGGTCTGTAGTGATTTCTCCTTTTTCATTTCTTATTGCATGAATTTGAGCTTTTTCTTCCCTTTTTAAATAAGGTTGGCTAGGGGCTTATCAATTTTATGTATTCTTTCAAGGAAGCAACTCTTTGATTCGTTGATTCTTTGGATTGTTTTCTTAGTCTCTATTGCATTGATTTCTGCTCTGATTTTTATAATTTCCTCTCTTCTTTTGGCTTTGGGCTTGACTTGCTCTTCTTTTTCTAGCTGTTTGAGGTGTAGCATCAAGTTATTTATTTGTATTCGTTCTGTTTTCCTGATGTGGGAACTCAGTGCAATAAATTTTCCTCTGAGGACGGCTTTCATTGCATCCCACAAATGCCGGTAAGTTGTATCTGCATTTTCATTTTCTTTTAGGTATTGTTTAATTTCTTCTTTAATTTCTTCTGTGACCCACTGATTACTCAAGAGTAATTCAGTTAACAAGTGTTATTCAGTTTCCATGTGTTTGCGGGATTTTTGCAGTATCTTTTATCATTAATTTCTAATTTCAGAGCGCTATGATCCGATAACATGCAAGGGATGATTTCAACTCTTTTGCATTTGTTTAAATATATTCTGTGAGCTAATATATGGTCTATTTTAGAGAATGATCCATGTACTGCTGAGAAGAATGTGTATTCTGATGTTGTTGGGTGGAACATTCTGTATATGTCTATGAAACCCATTTCTTCACAGGTGTGATTCAGTTCTGTTATTTCTTTGCTCATTTTCTGTCTGGTTGATCTGTCCCTTGGTGTCAATGACATATTAAGGTCTCCTGTTACAATTGTGTTACTGATAATTTGAGTTTTCATTTCTGTTAATAGTTGTTTTATATAACTGGGTGCTCTGGAGTTTGGTGCATATATATTTAAGATAGTTATCTCTTCCTCTTGGAGTTTTTCCCTAACGAGTATGTAGTGACCTTCTTTGTCCTTTATGGTCATTGTTGGTTTAAAGTTCACGTTGTCTGCAAACAGAATGGCTACTCCTGCTTTTTTTTTTTTTTTTTTTGATTCCTGCTGCATGAAGTATTGTTTTCCATCCTTTGACTTTCAGTCTGTGAGTATCCTTCTGGGTTAGATGGATTTCCTGTAAACAGCATATGGTTGGATTTTGTTTCTTGATCCATTCTGCTAGTCTGTTTCTTTTGATTGGTGCATTGAGACCATTTACATTAATGGTTATTACTGTTAAATGCTGGCTTATTGTTGACACGTTATCTCTCTGCTGTTGCATCTTTATCTTTCTGTTCTGTTATCTGCTTTGCTTAGTGGTTTTTTTCCTTTGCGCATCTAAACTGTCTTTCGATATTTTTTGCAGGGTTGGTTTGGCGTTCATGAAGTTCTTCAGCTGTTCTTTGTCCTTTGTATTTCACCATCAATTTTGAATGATAGTTTTGCAGGATACAGCAATCTAGGTTGGAAATCATTTTGCTTTAGGATCTGGAATACTTCACTCCATGCTCTTCTTGACTTTATTGTTTGTGCTGAGAAGTCTGCTGTGATTCTGATAGGTTTTCCTTTATAAGTGATCTGTTGTTTCTCTCTGACAGCTTTTAATGATGTATTCTTGTGTTGGATTTCTGGGGATATTTTTTTCATTTATAATTGCTTTGTAATATTTCTTTTGATTATTTTTCTTTGATCCATTGGTTACCTAGAAATAAATGTATTATTAAATTTTCAAGTATTCAAGGTTTTCCAGAGATCTGCATGTTACTCTAATTTAATTCTATTATGTGACTTGAATCCCTTAAATTTTAATGAGAACTGTTTTATTGCCTGAGTATGATCTATCTCATTGCTCATGCTGAGGTTCTCCATAATCCTTAATCCCAACTAGGATACAAAAGGCCCGTGATAGAACTCTGCACAATAAAAGTCTCACTACTAAAGAGGAACAAGGGACTGAGAGTGTAGCTCACTGGTAGAGCACTTGTCTGGCATGTGTGAGGCCATGAGTCCAATCTTTGGGCTTCATGACATTTATAGTAATCAAAATCAAGACGATTCTTTTTCTAGGAGAAGATAATGACTATATTGGTGAAGGGTGCTCAGTTCCAAATACAACCCAAAGAAATGGGCTGGGAGGAGAACTAGCAGGGTCTTAGCATCTTTGGTATATCAGCCAAAATATGCAGGCATATGGAGAATCTGTGGTGGACTGACCCTCCAACAAACTCACGAAAACTCTTAATTCTTTTGGATCATTTTTTTCTTTCTGTATTCTATTTTGGCTAGTTTGCTTGGCTATGCTTTCAAATTCATTAACCTTTTTTTCCTGCAGTGTCTAAACTTCCTTTAGTGTCATTTATTGTATTCTTCATTTCAGACATTTCAGTTTTCACATCAAGATGTTTTGTTCATGTTTCAAAGAATATATCCCATGTCTTTAAGTTTTGAACAGGTGGAATACAATTATATTGTGTATTTTAACATCCTTGTTTGCTGATGCTAACATTTATATCAGTCTTGGGTAAGTTTTGAATGTTATTCTCATTATTACAAGTTGTAATTTTTTTACTTTTTGTCTGTCTAGCTGACTTTTATTGTGTGCCAGATACCAAGATTTTTGACCTTGTCAGATGCTAGAGAATTTTGTACACCTATAAAACTTCTTGAATTTTGTTTTGTGATGTAAATTTTTTGAAAATAGTTTTATCCTTGTGTCTTGCTTTTATGATTTGTCATGCCACTGTAGAGCAGTGCTCATCTAGGACTAATTATTCTGATTTACTGAGGCAAAATCTTCCTAAATATTCTACTGAGTGCTCCAGGAGTTAAGAGGTTTTTTTTTTTTTTTTTCCCCAGTGTAAGCAGGTACTCCCTGGCCCTGTGTGAATGCTGTACACTGATTTCTCTCATCCTTTCAGGTGGTTCTTTCCTTGACCTTGGGTAGTTTCTTTACAAATGTACTCTGTAGAATAATTATGTGGAAACTGCAGATCTCTAGGGCTTCTATTTTACAGAAATTGCAGATTTTATTTTATTGAGGGTTGAATGTTTTTATACTCCTGTAAGTATTTCTGAGCTTTGTTCTGGTGCATGATTAAGTTTCTTGGAAACAGTTTGCTTTTTTTTTTTGTCTTGCTTTTGAATTCTTTTTTTTCAGGTAGGGCAAAACAACATTTAGTCAAGAGCTAATTTCCACCCACTTCTGAGTACTCGGTTAAATCTTATGTGAATTATGAGGTTTTCTACTCTGGCTGATGAGAACAAGAACTATTTTATTCTTAGCTCTTTATGAGCTCAGATGAGCATTCTTTAGTCCTTTTGAATGCTTCTTTCCTTGGGCTCAGGTACAGTATGTTTTTCCTGTGCATTACTGATCAAATTCCACATTGGCCCTCTGCAGATCTGTAGGATTCTCTCCCTTTGAAATTTGCTGTTTTCCTGTAATTAGTCTTGTTAACTCCATCTGCTTCACTTAGGTTCTCCCCCCCCCCCAGTTTATAGAGACCACGAACTGTGAGTTCCACTTTATGGTAATGCACCTTAGAAATTTCCTCCAGGCAAAAACTGACACTATGGACAATCCTAATGCCTCTGTTATTTCTTTTCTGTCATTCAGAAAATTACCTTTTCTTGCCTAATGACAAAATTGAAAATCTTTCTAGCATATATTTTTCATGCAGGTTTTAGTTATTTTGGACAGGGCTATAAGTTTGGCACTATTTATTTTGTGTCCTCTGGAATCTTAAGTCTCACGGGTTAATTTTGAAAACTAACACCATAGTTTTTTTGTAACAATTTCTAATAGTTAAAGCTTATTGATAAGCATAAAGTATTTTAATCCAAACTATAAGATTTAAATTTAAATCGAAGCAAATTAGTTCACTGTTTTGAGGGATACTTCTTCCTTCAACAGGTATTCAAGCACCTGCTACGCAGTAGATACATGAAGTTGCTGAAGATTGCTACTGTGAGCAAAACAAAATCCTTGCCCACTCGGAGTTTACATCCTATGAAAGATATTTTTTAAAAAAAATTTAATGCAGTGTACTTGCTAATTGTCAAGGTCTTGCTGTAGAAAGTCCACAACAATAAAACTTTTAAGGAACATGATCATCACAGTGATACTTTCACTTTGAAACATGTTAAGAAATTAGAAACCCTGATCCTTGAAAGATCCTATAGTTCTCCCTCCCCAGTTCAGATATGAATTTAACTGCAAGCAGGTGCCCTATCAGCTGGCCTCAGTAGCCGGGGCCCAAGGTGGCGCCTGATTTACAGTACATGCTTACTATGTAGCTGATGTAAATTTTCAGACTACTTGTCTCACAGGTCCTGGGTTGTGTTTCCTTCAGCGGCGTCCCTGGCAGGGAACAGCTAAGTAGCAGCACCAAGATGAAAAGCCAGAAGCACTACACCTCAGGATGACAGGGAGAGTAGGCAGAGCTGACTGCTCCGCCTCCATTGTCAGTTCTCCTAAATTTATGACTGGCAGGTGAGAGCTGAGGCTTCTGCTTTTGGTTAGGTTCCTGACATTTCAACGCTGCTAGTCCAAGTACTTTGCTTGATTTCCCCAATGAAAACAGGGAGGAAAGAAGAAAAAAACTGGGGAATTTTATGACTTTTAAACTTTCCTCCTCAGGGCTGTGTTTGTGGGTTAATGAGGCCCAGAGGACGCGGGAGGTCAAGACCCCGCCCACTCAGAGCCACCTACTGCAGGTCACAGCAGCGAACCAAAAAGCAGCGAGGTAGCCGCGGCGTGGGCCTGGCAGGAGCGCAGCTCTGTACCTCCGTGGCGGCGCTTGCAGCCAAAGCGGCGCGGGCAGCGGCCGCCGCACGTGCTCGGGCGAGGCGGGGCCTGGGCGGGGTCTGGGCGGGGCCTGGGCGGGGCGGGGCCGGCGCGGCACGTGACCCGCGGCGGGGCTATTAAGCGGCGCGCGGCGGCTCCCACGGTGAGCTCGCGCTGCGCTGAGACCCAGGGTCCCCGGCGTGCCGCCTGCGAGGAGCCGCGCGAAGGTCGTCTGTCTGCCTGTCCTCCTGTCTGCCGTCTGCTGCCAGCCCGCCGGCCCCGACGCGCTTCTGCCTGTTCGTCTGTCCGTCTGTCAGTCTGTCCGCGACCTGCCACAGTCCCAACCACCCCCGCCAAGCACCATGAACCAGATAGAGCCCGGCGTGCAGTACAACTACGTCTACGACGAGGATGAGTACATGATCCAGGAGGAGGAGTGGGACCGCGACCTGCTCCTGGACCCGGCCTGGGAGAAACAGCAGAGGAAGGTCAGGGGGCCCTGCCGCGCGTGTGTCCCGGTGCCCGCGGGGGTCTTGCACGGGCATCACCAGCAGAGCAGACTGACGAGGTCGCCCAGGGGGATGATGTGTGGTCCCCGAATCCCCTTCAGAAAGGAGAGCACGCCCAGCAATAGGCAGGACACCGGGCACACGTGTGTGCATGCGCGCGTGTGACATTAGAGTTAGAAAACAAAAAAATGTTAAAGGAAGAAGAGTGCTGTGTGAGTGTGCTGTTCCGCACACCTGCCTGTCGGAGGCTGGAATCTGACAGTTTCAGGTCTGCGCCTGACCCCCCACTGGTCTGTGACCTTGGCCACGGGGTTACTCTTCACTGGCGCTGACCTGACCCTTTTCTCTTTAGTCCATCTTTTCCCAGATAACAGAGACCAAATGAGCATCACCTTTGAGTCAGTCCATAGGGCTACTTTCAGTCATTGAAAGTCATTTATTTTGTGTTTTGGGCTCCTCAGGGAGGGATGCTAAGGAAAACTATTCACTGATAAAGTCACAATTATTCACACTTTATTTATAGTTCATTGAGGTAAGCACACAGGGATGAAGGAGTCAGCCAGGTCGCAAGTGCTCCCTCCTCATTCTGGTTGGCGCTCTCTGAGGCCCAATGGAACATTCCACTATTAGAAGGTTTCAGCCTTGATCCTCTTAGGACAAATAGGGAGTGTTCAGTGGGAGGCTACATCCCACCGCCTTTTCATTCTGGCACAGTGGCTGACTGGTCAGGCATGATGATGGAGATCTGAAAATCCAACCTTAGAGTGATATTGTTGTGGCCAAAGCCAAAAGCCTTGGGTTCCCCTTCGTCACACAGTGGATTTCCCTTCTAAGGACCTACTTTCAAATGGATAATCTGTGTTGATCTTGGCAATCTGTAGCTGAGACTCTGGGTGATCATGTGACTATGTGGAGAATACTTGTGTGATGGAAAAAGCGCATGTCCTATACCTGTCTCTCAACACACAGCTGGAAGGAGAGAGACCTTCTATGTAGATAACTATCAAATAACCAAGCACTATTTTATTTTTGTATCAGGAATTCTCTCTTCTTGTCTACCCTATCCCTCAGAGTATCACTTACCACTATTATTTTAAAACTCCAATTTAGTTACAGTTTAGTCTTTACTTAAAGTTTCTACCATCACTATCTAAGAGTATGGCAAAGAGAAATAGAAGTTGAGTCTACAAAGAAAAGCAAAATCAAACTACAACGTTCTATAAGTCTACTGTGAAGGAAATACATGGCCTGAGGGTTAGCAATGTATTATTACAGTGCTTTCATTGTTACATCATTAGTCAAGAAAAAATTAAAAAGTGACTTAACTTTTAGCACTTTTTTTTTAAAGTTTCACAACAGTTTTAATCACTGTATTTTTATGGGTTTTTGTTTTAAAAAAGACTGCTCCCTTGGCAGGCATGGTTGCACATACCTGTAATCCCATCACTCAGGGAGTCTGAGTCAGAAGGATTGCCATGAGTTTGAGGCCAGTCTGGGCCACATAGTGAATTCAAGACTAGCCTAACGTACATATTGAGACCCTATTACCAAAAAGAAAAATATCATTTCCCACATCTTTGTTTCAAAGATGCTTTTCTCTTACTAGAAATAATAAAATAGTTCAGGAACAGGACAGGTTCACTACCCTTATTTTATTGTGTAAATTTATTTGTTTGGGTTTTTATTTTATTTTACAGTACTGTACTGAATATTGAACCCAGGGCCTTCACATTGAGGTACATCCCTAACCCATTTTTTATTTTTAGTTTTGAGACAAAGTCTTGCCAAGTTAGTAAGTTTTTCTGGAGGTTTCTGTTGAGGTTTTAAAAGTACATTATCATAGCAGGAAAAAACCTATGTGAATTCCCAAAGGCTATAGTTGACATATTTTCTGTCATATTTAATTTTTAAAGGTATTTTCAATATTTTTGTATACTGACTAATGACAATTGTGGTAGTTTATTTTAGGTTTGAGAGTTCTCTGTGATCACATTATTATTGTTGTAGAATGCTTGAATTATATTATTAAAAAAACAGACATACTTCCAATCCCAGTGTAAAATAATGCTGAAAAGTTTAAAGTGAGAGTTCACTTTTTCCCTTAAGATAGATAGAATGTTGTAGATAATGGGTGAAAAAAACCCCTCAGCTTTCATTAGGACAGATCCAGAGCAGACTCTCTTTCCACTTTTGGTATAGGACTTGCTCAAGTCACTGAAATTATGTGGAACCATGAGCTCAGTGTGGCCAGAGCAGAGGCCTCTATTTATGTACTATGAGACAAACTGTTGGAACAGGGTGAGGACAAGATGCCATTGTTTCTATTGTGGGCTGCCTTCTCTACACTTGCCATTTCAGTGATATGCTGGGCATGCGATCTGTCAACAGATGCTGGTGGCACATGATGACGTCTGTGGAGTTCTAATGGATGCAGTACCTAATTATACCCACACTTTATAGAGTCTCAGGGACTGGGTAATCCTTCCTGGAATGCCTTGCTCTGAAGACCTTGGTGATAGTGCAGTGCTTTTCCCAGGAGGTCAAGCAGATGATGATGGTCTTAGTATGAGTATGTACAGGCATGTTAGAGTGCCCACCTTATCTTAGAGGGGATGTTTAGTTCCTGAAGGTCACACTATTTATATTCCTCGTATAGAAAATCATATTTTATTTGTTACAACTCTTGGGTTGGAGAAACGCTCTTTCAGTATTACAGACACAATATTTTAAATAGTAATGACAGGTTAAGAAGACCAAGGTGAATGGAGACATGCCTTCAGAGGCCTTTGATTTATGGTTGAAGTTGGAGAGACCCTTTTACCATTCAGGACACTTTAGGGACATCAGTTTTCAGGTAGTTTGGGTTGTCTGTAGGGGGTTGTTGGAACTTGTAGCACATTGGAGTCTGGAAACAAGCTTCCTCTACATCACGGAACACATTCGGCCTTTACCTCCTCGGAAACTCATGGCAGGAAACTGCCATTACCACTGTGCTGCTGCGTGCACCATCCAGCTGTGTGCTATCCTTAACCTTTAGGAAGGAGGTTAGCTCTGCCTGTAAGGAAATCAAGTAACTGTTTCCATACTTGAAGGGTCCTTAAATCTTACTCTTTAGATGACTCCACCATCAATAAACTTTTCTAAGAGTTCTGAATGATTTTAGTAGTTCCTACAAAAGTCCAAGTCCTGCACTCTTCCCACTTTGTATACCCCAGTTCTCCTTGTAGCATCTCTTGATGGTTTGGCCTTCCAGCTAACATGTTGCTATGTGTGGTCAGGCAGTATTGGAAGGATGTGTGTGCAGGTGTCTACAGGTAGAGGTTAGATGGGGAGATGGGGGCCTCCAGACTGCCTGTCCTTAGGGTTCCATGGGAACAACTGCCTGATGAGGGTGTGAAGTCCAGAGTCCTCAACTCTGCCTAGTGACACACATTCTTTCCAGGAGAAAAGACACTAACTGTTTGGACATATTAACAAGCTTATGGAATTTCTCAGATTCATCAGACCCAGATAATTGTCAGCTTAGCCTGATACTCTGTTTGACCCCAGCTGGGTCCCTAAAGCTTTCAAGTCTTAATTTGTTCATCTAGGAAGTAAAGATAAAATATTATCTTCACTTCCCTGGGCAATGTCTGGATCTAATTTGCATTGAAGAGGCTTTCTATACTGTAAAATGAGCCATAAATGTTTGAATATTATTATAATCCTCCTTTTGCAACAGTATTTTTCCCAAGTGATTTTAATACCAGTCAATACTGCACTTGAACTTTGTGAATGATGAGAAATTCACGCTCCCACCACTATCCAGTTCTAGAGCTTTTCCATCATCCCAAGCTGAAACTCTGTACCCATCGGACACTCACTTTTCATTCTCTCTTCCCCTCTGTGTGCGTTCATGGCAGGGACTGAGGATTAAACTTTGAACCCAGGATATTTTCAGTGAGTTATATCCTTAACATTTTCTTATTTTTATTTTGTGTGTATTGAGACAAGGTCTTGCTAATTCTTGTAGGCTGGACTTAAACTCGAGATCTTTCTGCTTAAGCCTCCCAGAATGCTAGAATTAAAGGCCTATGCCACCAGGCCTGGCTTCTGTTGTACTTTTAAAGACAGGATTTATAAACCCAGGTACCTTGAACATAAGAAATTATTTAATCTTAAGTGGTGGGTGCTAGTCTAAAGAGTATCTTAAGTGATGGATGCTTGTCTAAAGAGTAAATGTCATTGGAGGTCAAATAAGGAGAATTGTCGTAGGTGGAGAATAAGAAGGAAAGAGTTTATAAGGAAGTGGAACTTGGGTTGAGCTTCATTGGAGAGATAACAAGCTATTGGCTAAGTGGAGAGGGGGAGAGAGACAGCCTTCTTGGCTAGAGAAATGTTGTGAAAACCTGTTGTGTGCTTTTGTGGGGAAAAGGAAGGGAAGAGAGATCAGTGGAATATAATACACGTTTACCCACTGCTTTCACACTAACAATGCAGCCTTGCTGGAGTATTTTCACCCTGTGTTAAAGAGGAAGCAAGTTCAGAGGTGAGGATGAGTACTCAAGGCTGTCACACCAGCGCTTAGGACTCTGGAAGCTTGGCTTCATATTTCAGGGTTGTTGAGGGCTCAGGATGTGTTTGAGGAATTGTAAAGAACAGAGAAGGTGTAATAGAGCTGAACATGCAGAGTCAGATTTAGAGAGACTATTGGAGAGAGGACACAGTCAGGTTACCACAGCCGGGGGTGCCAGGATGAATGGAGACATGCCTTCAGAGGCCTTTGATTTAGTGGCTCCCTGTTTCAGGGCCCTCCTGAGTGGCAAGTGCCTGGAGCTGGGAGATTTAGGAGGAAGCCCACTAGGGACCCCGTGGGCAGAGCAGTGAGGATTAGGACACAGGGGCTAATAGATACAGCAGTGAGGAAGGCATCCATAAGAGAGGGATCTGGTGGGCTTATAGCAAGTATCAGGGCTGGGGCTATAGCTCAGGGGCAAAGT